TGGCAACGCCAGCGGCTGCAAAAGTACTCTTTTAGTGCCGCTGAGGCGGCAGTAGAAGTACTTTTAGTGCCGCTCGTACTTTACTGCCGCTTAACCACTCACTTGCCCCCGAGCTTACTCCATTCGTTTGGAGAAAAAATAGCGTGTTGCATACGGAGTAGAAGCACTTTTTTGTGCTTCAGCAGTATTGCAAGCCTCACTACGTTCGGCTCGAAAACCTACCGCTTCAGCACAAAAAAGTAAAGCTTCTACTCCTAATACAACAATATACTATTTTTTGTTAGCCCTTTTTTGATGTTCCTAATATATATTTTAGCCCTGATGAAGTCCTAAACTTTTGGGCGAAACGTTGGCAAAGACTTGATAGGCCTTTTATTTTTTTTCCTTACCGACGAATCACCCCTTTTCATTGGATACCGATAGGACACGAACTACTCTTAATGTCTCTTAATAATAATAAGTAAAAAATTATTAGCTGTTCATTGTCTTACTGGTTGCGATACAACACTATCTATATTTATGTAACAAGCTGTAAAATGAGCATGTTTTTTGCACTAAATGTAGAGATGCTTTTTTTTTAAATTGAATAAAGCTCCTTTTTGTATTGATTATTGAAATAATATGATTGATTTCAATCAATGAGGTTCTTGTTATTTAAGTCTAAGTTAATATTAAATGGCGTGGGAATGTAGCGAACCCACCGCCCACGATTCCAAAGTTCTTCGGCGATCGGCAAGTTGTGACGGGATCAGGCTAATGTAGTCTGAAAGCACTTTAGTGTCCTTAGTGACAAAGCAGCACGGAGGCGGCGGATAGCGTGATCGCCGTTCTGTTCAAGGATTGGCTGTAGAACAACTTGTGATTGAGCAACGCTATTCAGGATCCGCACTGTTCGCCCTGATAGGAAGGGGCTATAAAAGGTGCCCTAAATATAGCCAGTTAACTACTGCCCGACTGGATAACCGCGTCCAGAGGGTGCACCCCATGCGGTCCAAACAAAACAAAACAAAATCAATCAGTCTTCTGTCTTCACTTTCTGAAATTCTTGAGAAAATAATTCAGGAAAAGCTCAAATCCTTACGTTCTACGTGATGAACAATTTGGTTTTCGTTCATATCACTCTACTTAGATTCAGCTTGCCAGGTTGGTTGAAGAAGCCAGAAGTTTCCATGTCAAACTCAACAAAAATACCTTCTCAAATGTCAGACCTATAGAAGCAGGAGTTCCTCAAGGTTCTGTCCTGGCTCCACTGCTCTATAATATTTACACGGCTGACATCCCCAATAATCCTCATACTAAAATGTCCATCTACGCAGATGACACTTGTATTTACACTTCAAAAAAATACTCACATCACATACATAGACGACTACAAGCAAAATCAAAATATCTGTATCCACAGATTTTACTAGAATGGATTTGCAAGTCGAAAGATCATTTGATAAGTGAAAAATTATCCCCGTATCAGCTTCTTCTTGGTTGCTATTAGATTTTTTAAATTTTGTGGTTTACCGTTTTTGGTCAGCAGAAAGCAACTTTCAGCATTCTTGAATCCTGCTATTATTTTTTTTTTCATTACTAAGTATAGAAGGCCCCTTTTCCAAAAAATAGTTGGTTGAATAATTTACTAATGCCGTTTTATATGAAGAAGATTTGATAAATTCTTTAAATTTTGGAACCTTTCGAGCACCAACTTTCAAATCCGCCGTAAAATCTCCACGTCCGCCAGTGCCGTCGGCGTCGCCGACAAGCAGGTACATCGCGCGCTCTGGATATTCATAACTTTAATCAAGGATAACTAGAAAACTATTTGTTCCAGATGGTTGATTTTTTTTTAAACTTTTTTGATACTTTGTCGTCATATCATACGCAGATACTATGACAAAATTCGTTCAAATAAAAAAGTTTCTCGCTTACCGGAAAACATGCTGCACCTAAAGTACGATTTGAAGTTCAATCCAGTTTCCAAAAAAAAATTGAGTCACTATGGGATTTAAACTAGCACAGTTATCACCGCTCATATGTCCTCTACCGATTAAAAAAAAAATTATGTTGATAGGTTTATTAGTTCCGGAGTTATCGCGTGATGGGTTTAAAAAAACACGAAAATAACATTTTGACATATTTGTCACATTTTTTGAGATAAAAAATGTCTGCCCCCGCGAAAAAAGTCGTAATTAGCCATTTTAGATGCACAAGAGCATAACCGATCATCCTGTATAGGTTTCATGTGGTTAAACCTTCAAAAAAAAAATTGAAACATTTTTATATCGTTTTTACTCCACTATTAAGGGCCCCATACACTACAATGAAACACGACGGTTTTCACCGCCACGATGAAACACGTCGTTCTAAAACCGAAGTGTGTAATAGAAAAACACGACGGTTTTCTACAGGGCCCCATACACTACGATGAAACACGACGGTTTTCACCGTCACGATGAAACACGTCGTTCCAAAACCGAAGTGTGTGGTAGAAAACCGTTCGTGTGTACGAAATGTTGAACCGTCGTGCCAAAAATCAAGCTCGGACTGAATTTTAAACCGACGATGAAACACGACGGTTTTCTACCACACACTTCGGTTTTGGAACGACGTGTTTCATCGTGGCGATGAAAACCGTCGTGTGTTATCGTAGTCTGTGGGGCCCTGTAGAAAACCGTCGTGTTTTTCTATTACACACTTCGGTTCTAGAACGACGTGTTTCATCGTGGCGGTGAAAACCGTCGTGTTTCATCGTAGTGTATGGGGCCCTTTAGCAATAGGCGTTTAAAGTCGAGCGCTGATTGGCTATTGCTAATACGGTGTACATTATGATCGCACCATTTAGGCAGAACGTACAGCAAATTAGCAATGGGCGTTTTGTACGGATTTTTATTTTCCTATACCTACTTGCAATCGTCATTCGTCATTTTACAAATAATGCAGATCCAAGCATGTAACATAAAAACAGCGTAATTTACAAGTGATTGATGAATAAGTGATATCAAGCATTCAATCTAGCGCTTATCCAACTTTTGCATTGCATTTATTAAGAAAAATGCAGGTATAGGTACCTACCTATAAAATATCTGCAATATACAATATAGTCCGTCTAGAAAGTACAGTGAAACTTCCGTAACTCGAATCTTCAAGGGACAGGAAGTCGAGTTCGAGTTACAGAAAATTCGATTTACGAAAAAATACACAAAATTCCAAAATTGAGTATATTCGAATTTATATTATGTATTACAAAAAAGTAGTTTTATATATACATTATATAAACCAAGACAAGTCTATCTGTCGCCGCTGCTCACCGAGAATCGGTAATTTACCCAAGGCACTAAATGCAGTAGGTGCACCCTCGAAACATTCGAGTTACGGTTAGTTTTCGCCAAGGTTGCCACTAAATTTTAGTTCGAGTTTTAGAAATATTCTAGTCATATAGATTAGAAATTCGACTTATGGGGAAAAAATACATAGGGAGGTTGAAAAAACGTATTTGTTTGTGGAGAAAATTCGATATAGAGAATATTTCGAGTTCGGGAAGTTCGAGTTAGAGAAGTTTCACTGTATCCAAAAAATATTTTTCCTAATTTAATAATCCTTTTTTGTAACATTGTTAAGACAAGAGTTTGCCCAAAGTAGGCTGTGTCGATAGTAAGCAATTGGTAAAATCGCATAACAACATCTCTGTCTAATATTCTTGGTTGTACACAGGCTGATTTGTGAATTATGACGCTAATAGAAAAAAGTTGTGGAATAATTGTATAAAAAAGTCGTACGAAATGTTGAAAAATCAGTACAAATGAGTGTAGTACCTATGTGAGATAATAATGTGGATAAAAAACAATATAAAAAGGCATAGATCAGTTTCGTAAAATTCGTGGAAACAATTTAAACGCTTTAGTGGCGTTAGGTTAGGGCGACAAAATCCGCCACTGAAAATTGGTTACCAGATTTGGAAATCAAGGAAAAATAAAAGTGTGTCTAGAAGCTCTCACTGGAAACAAAAAAAAATCCATACAATGACACCTCTAGAAAGGCAACGAAAACTGGACTTTTGCCTTCAGTCAAGGCTTTTGCGAAGATAATTTTAGTAATGTTTTTATTTTTGAGAAAATTTCTCAGCTCGAGGTGATTTACACATCTTAAAATCCTTTGAAAGAAAATGTTACCCTCCAAATTTCCAAACTTCCTACTAAAATAATGGCTTGTGGAGCAATATCTGAACGTGGTGCTGCATTGCTTGTATAGTTAATGGCACCGTTACTATTGCAAAGTAATCATATAGGTTTCTTTTTGAAACGACTACTCAGCCTTCATGTCCAGAGGGGTAGCGTTTTCAGCAGGATAATGCAAGACACCATACTTATACACTAGTTGCAGCGAGTAACAATTCTATGCCCAGCAGGTTCACCAAATCTTAGTCCTCCTGATAAAATTTGAGGAATTATGAAGATTGATGTGGAACGAGCAGCACCGAAATTAAGAAGGCCTGAATTGATCAATGGACAGTCAAATGGAAGTTGTATAATTACATGGAATGAATAATTTGTTGTAATTATAATTGAGTATTGATTGTGCTGTTTTCTGGATGCGTTCTAGAGGGATTATACATAGAATGATCTGGTTGGATTCAATTAATTTAGTTTGAATATTATTTGAAATGAATGTACTTTTGAATAAACTGGCAACCTTTAGATGCTCTTGAACGAGCCACCCCAATGATTTATGTACCTAGTCAGTTTTATGGAACACCAATATATGTATTGCATTAGTTACTTCAAATGGGGTAAAAGAGAAAGTAGATTTTTCTCGCTTGAAAGGAGTTTTTCAAAAAAAAGAAAAAAATGGATAATATTGGCCCATGTCTAGTTGCTTGTAGACTACTACTAAAACAACACCTACTTAGCTGCTTGCCACTACACATTTTTTTTTTAGAACTGTAACTGTGTAAAAATCCATTATAGCTGGGACTCCTTGAAATGTATCAATAAAACAAAACAAAACAAAAAATATACAATGGTACAATAGATTTATTAAATAACTGGCAGTAATACCTCTATTTACATACTTAAGTAAACATATTAATCCTATCCTACACTTATTCACATTTAAGTAACCTGAAATTAATCCACGATTACTATACATTTTTTAATCTGCATTACCATTTGTGAATGAACTTCACATTTAGATTACAAATGCTGAACATAAATTCTATATTCAGTCAATAATTTACAATTTTCCGTTTTAAACTGGATTCAAATTAAAAAAGATAGCCACATTAGGTTTATTGAAAAATATTATTGTTTTTTACAAAGGAAACGCGAACAGGCACAGATTTAGGTATCGTTTGGTTAAGATTTAGAGGTTAGTGATTGCTCCCATTGCTCACTAATTATTATGCACTTACCTACACAATGAACGCACCAACATTGGATGTCAGCCAATAACCAAGGGAGAAGGCACATCAGATGGGCATGTTACAATGTAGTAACCAATAACTCGAAAATGTTTGAAATATGTATGTAAAATATTACCTACTTTTAATACCAAAAAATATTTGTGAATCTACATATTAAAGCGAGCTATTATTATTATTACTAATGGAAAAAATATTTAAGATTATTATTTCATTGTTGCATTTATCAATTTTTATTATAAAAAATCAAAACTTTCAAAAAATCATGACCAAATTAAAAATATTAAAAAATTATTGCAGTTGAGCCAAGATAGATAGTAGAAACTATTTTTTTTTATATCAAACATTGCTATTCACCCGAATTTACAGGTTTCTTGTATTGGGACTAAAGTGCAATGAACAAACCCTTCAATCTGTCTGTATATTTCAATCTGTGTGAGTAACGTACCAAGTTGATCAAAAAATATTAACAAAAAAATTGTATTTCTGTTTTTAAATTTTTATTTTATAGATTCCTGTCCTATAAATTATTTCCTGGTTAAATCACCAATATAACCCTCTGATTACTGTCGCTAATCATTCAAAAATATTGTTGTTTTATGCAGGCATTAATCCTTTGGTATGGAGTGAATACAAAAATATTTATATTTAAATATAATTGCCAACAGTAACTGTGCCATTTTTTTAATAATAATTCCTGTTTACGTAAAAAAAGCCAGATAGAATTTTTCAAACAAAACTGAGAGAAAAAACATAATAAGCATTAAATGATAAACTATAACATAAATGTAATAAAAGACAACAAATAATGGTATACAGAAATGTTAATAACTAAAAAAAAAGTTCATAACAAATAAAAATAAAGTAAAAAAAAAAATACTTAAACACTGATTAAGATAATTACAATATAAATTTAACCATATAAGCTAAAGAAAGGCGTATTGTTTTCCTAACAACTTATGACCACTTAGCAAATAGTCAATACAATCCAAAACTGACTTTGTTTATCTACATTGTTGCTTAACTTTTTCACAAGACTAAAAATGCTTACAGGTTGTTAAAGCATTGTAAAAACACGGGTTTAAATATTTGTTTTTGTATTTTCAATCAACAACAAACACACTAGGCCAAAAAAGTGATTGAAACGTTAACTGAAAAATACAAATACATATTTTGAAATCCACTTTTTTACATATTCTCACATACTGTATTATGGAAAATTTACAATTTACAACCAGAAGGAGTAATATTTTTGACTTATTTAAGCAATTAGATTTTATTAATTGCACATTTAAAATCTGATTCCACTAATATTTTTAAGATTTCTTCAAATTAAAGCCAAAAATATTACATCTAATCAGACATTACATCAAGTCAATCCAAGCCATATTTGATAATATTTTATTCAAGATTAGATACTGCAGATAATCTAAACTGGATGAAAATTCAAAGCAACAAACTCTTTTACCACACCGAAAATAATTAAAATACTGTATTAATGTATTTATTATAAAATAGTAGGCATGTACCTACATTTTGCGGCTTGAAAAATGTTCACTGGAATAGAATAAGTAATTTACCTATCTTGAAGAATTTACTACAATATTTACATTCAGAACTTGTACTAAATTTCAATTATTTTAAATATTATATATGTACATGGATTTTTTCCGAGATGTTAGGTATCAAAATCAATCCAAAATTTAGAAATAAATTAATGACACTATCAGTGGGGCAGTGTTTTGTTAACAACTAATAACAGAGTTTTAAACATAGGCAAGTTAATCAATCTTTATAACTATACTTTGTTAAAAAATGGGCAGTGCTTTCAATTATTCTTTGGTTATTACTGGGTTTTTCTTTTTTTGTTATAGACAAAGCATTTCTATGATTTCAAAATAAATATTTAGTAACGTTATATAGCATACTATGAAAAGACCTAATCTATTAATCAGGGATAAAATCCTAATGGACAGTTTCAATTCAAAATACATTTATATAGGGTGTTTAGTACTATAAATGTGGCCAACCTTTGCTAATCTAGTAACCAAGATAGTTAACCTTTAAGTAGGTAAACCAGGAAAAGAAGGAGGCACAATTAACATTGAAAATAGGCCCCTGTAAATTTCAACCAAATTTCAATATTTTAAAGGTATCATCATTGCAAAAAAAAAAATTGAAATGTAAAGAGGATCGTATGTCTGTGATAGCAGATATAGCTCATCAAAGCATGTAGGTCCTGCTATGCTATGCATAGGAAATATCTGAGGAAAACTCCCCACGTAGATTTTCTTGAATATCTCAAAAAATACTAATCTGATTTTGACCTTTTTGGAGTTTGATACCTACAAACACCCCAAAAACATCAAAATCGGATTAGTATTTTTCGAGATATTCAAGAAAATCCACGTAGGGATATTTCCTCGGATATTTCCTATGCATAGCATAGCAGGACCTACGTACTTTCAAAAACAAAACAAAAACAAAAATTGCTTTATTATCAAAGATACAATCTTATTGACAAAGCTAAACTTAAATTTAGTATCAACGAAAAGCCTTAGAACTAGTTACATGAAAGGACAATAAAAAATAAAATAAAAATACAATGCGCACACTCGAAAAACAAACAGTTAAAAATATACAGAGACGTAAAGTAAGCCTCGAATTCTAGCTACGAATTAGGAAAGCATACCACAAAAAATCAAAATCAAATCAAGAAGATGACCAGAAAAAAACTTTTTATTCACAAAGCATATATGTAACTTAAATAATAATAATTAAAAATATCTATGAAAATACAATTTAAAATTTTTGCCACGATAAAAATATGCTCACAAGGTGTCCTCAAAGAATTCTTCAACATCGTAGTATGCCCTAGTCAAGAGCAACTCCCTTACCTCCCTTCTAAACCTTCTGTACGAACGTAAAGACCTAACACTCAATGGTAGAAAATTGAAGGCTTTCTTAGCAAAATAAACAAAAGACTTCTTCACCAAGGTGCTTCTCGGAATTGGCAGTGGAATATTATAAGCTTGCCTAGTGGAATAGTGCCTCACCACAGAAAGATGATCATAGTATGTCCTATAGACTAGGCAAATACTTTCGAGTATATATAAACATGGCACAGTTAAAATTTTATGGGAAATGAAGCTAGGTTTGCAAGATTGCGGGAGGGAATTCTGAGCACAAACCTAAGGGCTCTTTTTTGCAAAATAAATATGGAGTTGAAATTTGCAGTACTGCAGCAGCCCCAAAATGCAATACCATAAGTAATGTGTGATTCCACAAGAGAAAAATATGATATTTGATGAGCTATATCTGCTATCACAGACATACGATTTACATTTGAATTTTTTTTTGCAATGATGATACCTTTGAAATATTGAAAAAGCAAGTGTACAAAAATATATAACGGGTCTTCAAAAAAAAAACAATCAAAAATTGCTATGGTTTTTTTAACGTATGTCTTAGCAATATTTTTTTTTTTAATTTTGTCAATAAACTTTCATGTCAAAATGTCATGTCAAAAATCCTGACAAATCAAGAAACAATAATGGGATGTACGTTTTCGTAATCAAAGCAAAGTTGATTTTTTTTTGAAGGCCCGTCATACTAAAAACATGAAAAAGTAAAACATGTGGATAAATTAACTACATAGTTTAAACGAACAAAAAACAGAAAAACAGTGAATGAGCAGTCGACAGATACGATCAACCCTGTTACAAATAAAATAATATAAACTAATAGTGCCAATTTTGAAAAATTGGTGGTTTCCACAGTTTTGCATCAAGCTAGCAGAAAAACCTTTATAATACTTTTAAAATTAATGAAATTTTGTAATCCCAATTACCTTTGGGTAATAAAAAAAGAATTAGCTGATATTCCTTTTTAAATGTAGAGGCCGACTGTAGAATCGATTTTATTATTAGATGCCTAGGCTTTTTCAATGCCAAACTATCCATCCATAACTGTAGGTAATGTTTTTGAGATGTTTATGTGTTGCAATTCAATTTCACAGAGAAATCCTTTTAATTTTCACATTTGACTTTTCAAATGAACTTTATAAGGGAGCAAATTATGCAGAGAAAGCTTCGTCTTTAATTTCGCTAGCTGTACCTAGTAATTTAATAATAATTGCAGAAATACATTTAATATTATTATATATTGTTTTCAATTTTAATGGCATGCAGATGTTTCATTTAAAATTGATGCAAAACGTCTGCATGCCATTAAAATTGAACACACAGTAAATAATATATAACAGACAATAAAACTTCTAAAAAAATATGAGTATAATTTGGTGAAAATTAAAAAAAAAGCCTCAAAAGAAGAGGAAAACTAAAATTACTTAATTTAATAATTGCAGTAAATACATTAAGTATTATTAATATTTTGTCAAAATTAAAAAAAAAAATTATTTATGATATGTACATGTATAAAGCAAACATAGCAGGGTATTATTGAGATTGATGAACTTGCCATATCCAAGAGCAGTCTTCCAAATTTGTTGTTTTATCATAATTATGTATTATGTATAAACCTAATTTTTTTCTCATATATTTTGGTGTTGCAACATTTAATATAAAACAATATCAAAGATTCCACAGCATCAAAAATCGAGACCACTAAAGATTGATTTTATTTCAGATATTTTGATATTTCTGTTCTTTTAATAAAAATATTAATTTTGCCTATCAGATTTGGAATAGTATTTCTGACGCTTTGAGAAATTGATTTAAATAATAATGCAGAATAGCTTCGAAAACGCCAGACCCACATAAATACGGACATTCCAGAAACCCAAACAGTAGACTCAGCTCTAAAACATCGTCGCATTGAGTAAAACATAATGCGGTTAGAGCAGGAGAGCGGAAAAAATCCAGTAGTTATCTTGTGGATTATTTCGATATTCCCTTGAAATTAATGCCTCAATTGAAAAAACAAACACTTGTGTTTTCCAAAGAAATTTTCAAACATCTCTTTGATTCGACACACTGTCAAGAATTTTTTTGATTTTGTGAAAATTTATTCAATCTTACTATCATAGACGCTCTCTAGACGTAAACAACTGGATTCTTAGAATCTGGCCGGGCTCTCGATGCACTTTCGTGAAAATATGAACATTTATACAGTTGTTTATAAAGTTTCAAAAATCTGGGTGACTCTCAAACACGGACGCCACCCAATGCAATATGCGTCCAAGTTTTCGAAGCTATTCTCTATGAATTATGTTCCAGGAGCATACAATTTTTTGAAATAAATGCAAATAAATTCTGCATCCATAAACATGGAGTTGTCAAAATAAAGAATTCTAGAACATACTTGCCAACTGAAAACATTATACCGACAGGATGACAATTTGAAAACGTGCAATGGGCAGTATTTTTTTAGTAAGAGCTGTAAAATAAGGTATCGCTACTAGGAGGATGCTACTTGAGATTTTTTCAATGACATCGCTTGGTAAATGTGGTTGATGTAACAATAAAAATAAAACTTTTAAATCACAAGTTAGCAGTATGTTCTAGACTTCAATAAGCCGCATTATAACTAAATATAAATAATTTTGAATATTAAATAATTTAAATCGAATTTGTACTAATTTTTTTTTATTAATAATTTCACCTTAATGAAAATCAGACCAGTTAAAAAACCAAAAAGGCATGTTGTTCTAATTAAATTATGAACACAAAATCGCGTAGTCAATTAGTTTTCGTAGATTGACATTATAATGAATACTACAAGTACATTGAAAAGTATTTCCTAAAACTCCTTAAGTAACAATTAAAAAAGTTTTGTCTGAAACGTACCTCTAAACTTGTATCCAAAAAAAGGAGGCGACAAATGATCATGCATATATTACTAAAAAAATTTATATGTAAGTACTTAAATTTGGCAATAGGGCCAAAGCTCAATGTAAGCAATGAAAGTAGTGTTGCGGAATTTAACCAAGAACTTATTTAAGAGTTCGTTGTTAGTTATGTGTTCAATTCTTAGTTGGGCTCCGAAAAAATTATGTATAATCAATTAATTCAATTCAATACCTTACCTAACTGTGTCGTTAATCAAAAAGGTGGAGCTTCATGAACATTATTCCAACCAATTATTTTTTTTACGATTACCAGGCTTACACTCTACCAACTTAACTAGGTTTAAATCTTAGTTTAGTCAACTTAGTACAACAGCAAAGTATCGATTTAAATAGACACAATTAAAAGAAACAAACAAAGCAGTAGTTAATAGACAAAAAATCTACACAAAAACATGCAAGGAGAAGAAAGATCCACTCATAAGTACGTGGTACTGGATTTCTAAAATTCTCTCAAATTTGATGCTTTAATTTTATTTGCATAGGCAAATGGATGTAAATCGTCCTCCCACCTCAAATTATCAAATTTCAGTGATATTTATCAATTAATGAAGCTCCATCCCTTCTTTTGACATCAGAGATTAGGTAATACATTCTCAAAACACCAACTGATACAAGTTTAAAAATAATAGGGATATGGAGAAGAATACCACATACATGCTTGCCGAGTGAAATCAGAACAAAGTTTCCCATAATAATATTCCATTAGGTAGTGTCAATTTTTCCAGGAGTATGGATCATGCGATCGGCTCCATTCATTTCCAGTATCCTGGTGTGTCATCTGCTGTGAATCTCTGTTCCAATCCCAAGCTTTTCCTTTTGGGCGGAACTTATCTTTAACAGGCTCATGGTTTGCGTCGGGCCTTTCTTCATTTGCCTTTGACCATTCATCGTCTCTCCAATGTTCCCGATAGTAAAACTTCTTCTTGAAATGAGCATCTGGTTTCTTGCTCTTCTCCTCAGGATAACGTTGATACTTTAGCAGAGCCGGATTTAATCTTGTAGGACTTTTAGCCGGTTCAGGACTGAAGTGAATATTATATGGATTTGGAGAAGTTGGAGATGGCGTCCTAGGGGGACCAGCGTCGTCTGGTCCTTGATCCAAGATTGCAGAGGATTCTAAATAACTTTTACTTACTGGCATTTTAAACAAAGTGGGCTTTGGGTTCAACTTAATGGGTTGTTTGGACGGACCTACAATATGAGTTTCTCCTAAGCCATGTCCTATGCCAGAATCAGGTGAAGTATTGCAACTGTCTGTTCCGTCAGTCGAACGACGTCGTTTATCTAATTCAGTAGACGCGAATGCCACCAAACGGTCAAAGCCAGAGCTGACTTTGTCTCGCCACTTTTCTTCTACCACTACTGCTTCCTCTTCCACAATATCCATCTCTGAAAAAAAAAATTATATTTTAACACATGCAATTAGGAAATGCTAGACATACAATTAATTAAAATTGATATAATAATAAAAGCTATGTTTGGTAACTATTTACTGAGGTATTTACTTGATAAAGGTATCAGGAATCACAGCTTTATTTGGCGCATGTATACATATTGGAAATAACAAAGTATGTACCTACGCCAAGAGTAAGTTAACTTAAGAGGTATACCAGCTTTAGACGACAAAATAAAGAATCGTTTTCACACAACTGTTATTTATTTATTACATAGGTGAATGCAAAATAACCAGACCAACTTTTTCACTGAATTAAGAATGGTTAATTGGAGCATAAAACTTTGATATTTGGAGTAATAATCCCAAACAGCCGATTCCAAGCCCGGTTTGTTGACTTTTGAGAGTTTCAGACAAATGTTATTTAAAAGCCAATATCTAAACTTTTAAAGAAGAAAATTCAAGTTAATGTTTTAGAAGTTTTACTTAAAACACATATTAATATTTTTTGCTGATAGATTTGATTAAAATCTAAATAAATGCAATATTATTGGGTTATCATCATTATTTTTGTTCCTACAGGGCAAGAGCTCTCAGCAAGAGGACTTAGAAATCTACATGCCGACAAACTAAGTAAAAGTGTTGTTGTGCTAGTTTGCATTCTTTATTTTAAATAAATGGTGTTTCTGATCAATTTCTTATAAAAATGTCTGTGACGAAAGTGACCTGTTTACACTGTTTTATGATTATTTGAAAAATGACTAACCTCAGTCCTATTTTATAAAAGCCCACCATTCTAGTGAGTATTTGCAACTATAATTTTATTCTGATTTAATTGATAATTGAGCATGATTATATTAAGGCTAGAAGACTCGAATGATAAAAATAAATTATCGGGATTTGTGAAAAATAAATATTTAATTGGTTTTTTTCTAATAAATTGATTATTCAAATTATCAGCATAAATTTAAGCATTATTAACTTTTATTACTGGTGAAAAGTAACATGGATACATTTTAGTTTCAGATAAGCTCATCCACTGTTTCAATAGAACATTGACTGGCACATTTTTATTAATGGAGGCAATAAAAATTAATCAAGGCTTGAATCAAGCCATCAAAACATTTTAAAATTGGTTAAGTACTCGAAAATCCAATCATACGATTGGATTTTGATGATCCTGCAGCCCCCATTAGTGACCGTTTCTACTTAAACCTGGCGAAAACCAAAAAAAGCTGCCTGGACCCTACTTTCTGGCAGCTGCCTTTATTAAATTAATAAATCTATAGCAACTAGTTTTTTATTTACCTTCTTCCTTATACTTCCTTGGCCTCACTACAGTTGGGTGAAGTTGGTCTTCAGTAGAGTTAACCTGAAGAAAAAGTTGATTTTATTATTAAAATCTAAGACGCCGGATATTATTGTAGTGGATGAAATGGAATGAAAGAAGGATCTAAGTTTCACCCTAAGCTTGATAGCTTCTCCAGAAACCTTCCAGTAAGATTTTTTTTTTCAGATGAAAAATCTCAAAATTCTTAACATTAAGACAGAAAAAATAACTAACCAGTGGAGCGACCGTTCTCGGTGAAAATTGTTGCCTAGGCGAAGGTTGCTGGCTCGGAATAAATTGATGTGGAGCAGTGGCTTTAACATGTGAATGCATATAAGCCATGTAGGCTAAACCTTCCAAACCACCTTCAGTTGATGACGGCCTAGAAATAGGGCTGTACACCTGCCTCATTGGTTCTACTATAACTTCTTTAGATGTAGACGGTGAGCTGATTTCAGGAGGTCCAGTTGGCACTTTCACACTTACCTACAGAATGTAATTTATTAATATTTTTTTTAAAATGAAAAAAGTAGAAATGTTTGGTTAAACTTTAAAAACTCTCTTGTTATGCCTACGACTTAGGTCTAAATAACTTCATGTAAGAACAAATGTTTAGTTTAAGAAAGCTGAGAAAACAAACATAGGTACTTTATAATTTATATTAAACGGAGATTGAGCAATTATAATAACAAGGTTGTATGTAGAGCGGTGCAAAAAATATGCAGCTCAAAGCAATGTTCCTAATATACAAGGGAAGCCTTGAGAATTTCTTACAAGGAAGCAAAGTTAAAGCTCAAAAAAATTAACAATAAAGAATGGGGTTATTTTTATTCTCAACCCATTTATTTCAATACACTGATCACATTCAGCTTCAAAAGTTCAGTTAGTAAATATACCAAATCTCATAATTTCAGAATGAACGGTTTCGAGTATATTGAGGATAGGAAAAACCGTTCTCGAGGTGCCCAGAAAGCATTTTTTTTGTGGGTAAATGTTTGTATGAACGTTTCACGATAAAAATACCTCAGGAATTAGCCATATTTAGGAAAAATCCTGTAGATCTAGTATGGCATAATACATTATCTATCTATCTATATGAGACATGAGTAAAACATGATATTATTTTATCAAATGAATCATAGCCTTACCCTTTCAGGTCTTGGTGGAATGCTACTATTAACTACTGATCTGGCAGTTGAGGTGGGTCCATTTTGTATATCACTCATATCGACGGCAGCATTGATAATAGACTGGTTAGATATTTCTAAAGTCCTCTCTATTTCTCCTGAAACAAGATCTCCTATAGTTCTAGTTGCAACAAGTCCTTCAGGTGTGTTAAAGGTTTGATGGGCAGTAGATAATTTTCCCACAAGTCCTTCAGCCGAGTTGAAATTGGGCACAGTGCTTGTCAATTTTTCTTGGGATAAATGTCTTCTGAGAGCTAGCTTCGCTGGGGAAACTTGTGTGTAGTCTGGTTGTTCAGGTCCAACACTTTGTTTTCCTGGTTGTGTGTGAGGTGGAATTGGGTAATGTTGTGTAACATAACTTTGAGTTATCGGCGGCAGCTGTGGTTGAGGCATCGGCGTGGTTGGCACATGAGCGGCGGGTATAGTAGAATTGAATTGCATTGGAGGTGGAGGAATTTGACTCTGCTTTGTCCTGTTCTGTTGATCCTCATTTAGTACAGAAGTTATTATACTTTTCAGACGATCTTCAAAATTGGCGATTCGAGGAGCTTCTTGTACTTTCTGAATTTGGTTGTTGGCAGTGTTGCTGGAACTGGTAGAAACTATTGTGGCTGGGTAATTGTGTAATGTCTTCTGGCGTTTGCTAACTGGCAATGGAGCTGGCATATTATTTTTAACAATACCTTTTGGATTATTTGGAAGAGGTTTGTTATGTATAGGATATGAACTGTTTTTATGATTTGTTATTGCTGATAGTTTACTTGCTTCAATTTTTCGACCAGTCTCCAGAATTTTCTGTGCTAAGATCTCTGGATTTTGTTCTTCTATTTTTGCAATGTCTGGAACTTCAGGCCAATCCTGAGATCTGGTTCGATATTCTCTGGATTTGCGCGACACTTTGGCTGGCGCTTGTTGTTGTCTTGCGGATAAAGTGACTTGAGTTTGCTTTCTTTCTTCACCTTGCTTTGTCAGTGTAACCACATCTCCTTCCAACTTTTGCACCTGATTCTGTAGTTTCTTCCTGTGTGCTAAGGTTTGTGAAATTTCTTTTAAAATATATTCTTGAGCCATGCTGGGAGATAAATCTTTGGCTGCATGTGGACCTATGTATGGCTCACAAACTTCTGCAGCTCTCTGCATAGCCAGGTTATTATTTTCTGTTTCAAGTTTAGATACTTGGCCTTGTAATTCACTTGCTTTGGCTTGTAACTCTTTATGCCTGCATACAATTTCTTTTGCCTTACTTAGTAAATCCACAGGCGAAGTAGCATTTATACCAAGTTCGCACATTCTGGCTTTAAGTAATGCTACACTATCGTCAATTAAAACTTTGATTTGTTTTTCAAGTTGCGCCGCTCTGCTCTTGAGTTTTTCATTTCGATCTTTCTCCTCCTGTATATGAGCCTTAATAATAGATTTGTAAGCAGAGCTTTTCATTTGGCTAATCATTTGCATATATTGACTCCTCACCATGTCTAAAAGAACTTGCAAGCCATAGGGAGTTCCAGCAGGTTCTGCAGGAATTTCAAGTTCATTGTGAGTTATTACATCAGAACTTAATGTGGTGAGCTGCTGATCAACACAACCAGGAGCTGGTGGTAATTTCTTTCCAATAGCCTGAGCCGAGGTACTCAGTAAAGTTTCTGAATGGAGAAGATCCAGTCCTGTAATTTTTAAAGGTTTTTTAGGCTTGGCTTTCCTCACTCTACCACGACGACCCTTAGGAGGTGCTTTCTGGACCTGCTTATCCTGCTGAACTTGTGCTCCTTTAGCTTTTGGTTTACGACGAAGCTTTTTATTTTGACGCTTCTGGAAAAAATAGACATTAAAATTTTGAAGGTTTAAAAAAGGTTATACAAATATTACCTTCGTATTAGGAGCTACTGTCTCGCCTTCCGACTGGCTACTTTTGCCTTTATTGGAGCAATAATCTGACCAAGCTTTTCTTGTAGTTGGACCAAAATTACTGTCGTTACTATTATCACTTTCAGAAAACGAATCCATAATCTGCTTGGGACATTTCCCTTTGTCACGTGAACAACGACTATTAGAATTTTCATCTTCGCCATTCTAAAAATATATTGAATGTATTGCCGAACATAACTTACTAATGCCAATATTCATACCTTAGGTTGGGGTTTCTTCAGCCTTTGAAAATATCTCTCTAACTTTGTACGATCAATTTTATGAAGGAAATAAGACACAGGCTTGCCAGTCCAAGATACAGAACCCCGCATTGGTGACATTTCAGAAACATGCATGATGGTACCTATATCACTGAGATTTCGATCAGTTATTCTGAAATTTAGTGGGCAAAAGCTTTTGGAGGACACAATTTTAGCAGCATCCTTTAAATCAGCGAATCGCTCCTTCAGCTGATGGTCAACTGAAGGCCCAAAAGCAAAATTATTAACAAACACTATAGTGGCTTGATTGATTTTTTCACGATGCTCTTCTGTCAAAAAATCACCACGTATGAGTTTGTACTCTCCATATTTTTTACCGTACCACTGCATCCAAGTTCTAAAATGTTTATTCATTGCCTCAGCATAGCGACTTGGAACCTGAAAAATCAACCAGAATTAAAACATGCTCCTATTATTACTATTACCAATATTATGCTACAAATTTCTCTAATGACCAGGACCTTTACCTCTGCTTTTTCTATGCCAAGGCAAATCCTACAAGGTGTAGCAGCGGCCATTTGCAGAACCACCTGTCCTACCCCAGATCCTAAATCAATGAATACATCGTCAGCTGTAATTTTTTCTATTTGATCAATCATTTGACACACCAAATCATAGGATGTTTCCCCATACACTTCCGGTGAGAAAGGCTCGTACTGGTTAAGTTTTTCTGGATCAGTTACAGCTGCATTATAAGTTTGTTGTAAAATGTGACGAAGGAGGCCTCTAGATGGGTACTTGTTCAACCTTTGAGCTGGCAGTGATGTTCCTTTTTCCTAAATTGAAAAATGACAACTCAACATTTATACCATACGCCATATCAACTTATTATTATTATTATTATTATTATTATTATTATTATTACACGACTATAATTATTGTATAAAAGAATAAACTAAAGTATATTTTTATATCGATAAATAGAATGAGACACTTCTCAACATTCTTATTAATATGATTTTATTCATTTTTCTACTTACTAGTGCAACCACACTATCGATAGCCTTGTTAAATCTTTCACACAAAGACTTCATACTTTCAAAGCTCCTTGTGTCATAATCACAGAGAATATTATTTTCCAATGGCAGTTTAAGTTCAGGCAAATCTTCGCATACCCATCTGAAAAAAAAAAAACAAATAATTATCTCTTGCGACTTTAGGATTCAATCCTCAAATTCACAAAATTGACCGTTTTATAATTTAACACTGTAGGTAACTAATATAAAATGTGTACAATTCCCCTAAAATCCGAAAAATTTATACTGCATTCCTTAGAGATTTATAGACATTTTTTGTAGGTTTACTAATAATTCGGTACATGAAATGAAATAAAGTATCAATTTATTTTATTGTTTGTGGTTGGGTTATCGAGTCATTCACTTCTATCATCATTAAAACTTAAAATAGCTGAGAATGAGGAAATTCAACATAAACACATTTAATATTTGATAAACATCTTATTTGGAGCACAATGTATATCATGACCTCCATTGACACTGCCCCATTTTTAATGATCCAGTGACCATAATAACGGGTGTTCAATAATTGTTATGGTTGTGGTTGGCTAAAGTTCTATTTTTCTATCATGAACGTAGGTCCGTTGATAGGTTAGTATGGTTTGACTAATAAAAATTATGTGAAATAGACAAAAACATTGCAAATAATTGTGTACGGGCGAACAAGAATTCACTCAACAAGCGTCAGTGGAACCACTGGATTTTTGGGCAGATTTTCGAATGTAGCTTGCCACTAACCTCTCCGCACGTGCTGGTTTCAATATCAGTCAACTCTTGAATTTGGTTTGTTACTCAATGGCGAAGCTTATCTGAATTGTTGACCGGATTGGAAAATATTGAATTTTTGAGATGTGGTTACAAGAAAAAGATGCATGAAGTTAAATTGCACGATCTGGGAGGATAAGGAATGTCTGTATTTCTGCTCATGACCCATTCATCATAATATTCGTGAAGCAAATCCAAAGTCTCTTGGATGCAATGCTCCAATTTGGTTTCGTGAAACCATGCTTCAACAGTGAAAAAAAATGAAATTTTCCCAAAGCCGATCCAGTTCTTCTATTTTTTTTCTGATTTCGGATCTTATGGTTGTTGTAGAAGTGTTGCAAGCTGGTGTTGGTTTTCTTGTCTTCGAGCTTCCTCTTCTGACCATGACTTCTTCTTCTCGTCTTTCTTTTGATCTTGTTGATGTAAAAGTGCTGCAAGCCGGTCTTGTCTTCGGACTTCTCCTGTTTGCCTTTCTTTCTGCCTTTGGGCTTCCTCTGCTCTCCGATCTTCTTGTTGTTGTAAAGGTGCTGCGAGTCGGTCCTGTTCTTCTTGTTTTTCTTTTTGTCTTCGGAATTCTTCTGCTTGCCTTCCGTTCTGTTTTTGGGGTTCCTATTCTGGGGATTCCCTCGGTCGTCGGGTTTCCCTTTCTTGTTTCTCGTCTTTGATATTTTTCATTAAGTCCACCAATATTTGATTATCTTGCTTTATTTCCGCTACTTGCTATGCATAGAGTATAGGATAGGATAGGTTCCTATGGCAAAGTCAAAACTCCTGTCTAATTTTCGAATAGAACACAATAGAATTTTCTGAACGAATTAGGGTCTCTTTGGACTGGTTTTTTTTAATGTCAAATCAGTACTGGCCACTATTCTGCTAATGCTAAAGAAGTAGCACATTTAACAAATCTGCTGCAAGCTAAAGAAGAAATAATTAATGAATTAAAGGAAAAACAAATTTTACTTTATAAAAACATAACCCTACTTGAAGAAAAAGTAAACAATAATATTCTTTCTCTTCAAGTTCAAAATCAAAACATGAGGCAAAAAAAACCCAGCATACCCCAAAATATCGTCCTAAATAGGGAAATTTCTAATAGCAGTACTAACACAGAAGAGAAAAACAAAACCTCAAGCAAAACCTATAACCAAATAGTAGGAACCGGCAATGAAAAAGTCGCAAAAGAAAGAACCCCAAACTGGACAACACTAGAAAAAGAACAACGTAAAAGATGGACCAATACATTAATTTGGCACAAGGAAGGGATGATCTACCTGATAATGCTCAAAGTGTACGTGGAGACATAAGTGATGGCCCCGAAGAAGAGTTCGTACAAGTAAAAAGTCGACGACGTTATACTAAGAGATTGGGAACAGGAAAAATAGAGGAGAATGGACAAGAAAAAGGATTTAGTGGACAAGATAGAAAGGCATGGCTATTTATAAACCGAGTGCAGTTACATGTCACAGAAGCGATGGTTTTGAACCATATTAGAAAGAAACCAGACTTTCAAGATGAAAATATTACTGTTAAAGAAATAACTCACAGTAATAAAAACAATTGGAAATGTTTTGTGGTAACTGCTCCCCTAACCAGAAAGGATGAATTATACAATCCAGATTTCTGGCCAGCAAATGTAGGAATAAAACGATTTAATTATAATGTGTACAAAAAATCTAGGCCCTTGGGAAATTTTTAGAAATACAAGCTCAATCTATTGCCCAAACGTTCATCCACAAACCAAAAAAATTGAAATTAATAAACAGAACATTTTTCCACAGGAAAAACATAGCATAAGTGTTATCCATCAGAATGTTCAGTCTCTTGGCAAAGCTGTGAACAGAATCCAATATTTTTTGCAAAAAGAAAACAATTGTATGCTCTTTCTTGTAACAGAGCACTGGAAAACAAATGAGCAGTTGAGACTACTACCAATACAAAACTTTAATCTTGCAGCACAATGGTGTAGGGACGAAAACGAACATGGAGGTGCAGCTGTCTTTGTGAATTCTAGTCTTGAATATAAACCAAGGAAAAAAATTAGTGACTTCTCAGTAAAAGGTGAAATGGAATGTGCAGCAGTAGAATGCTCCATCAACAAAGAAGTATTTATAGCAATAGCAATGTACAGGCCATGTAAACGTAACAAAGAAACATTTTTAGAACTGTTAGAAAAACTTTTAAATAGTATACAGGGTGAGAATAAAACAATTGTCTTGGGTGGTGACTTCAACATTGAACTTAAGACTGACAATAAATATAAAACAGAGTTTTTATCATTTCTTGATTCTTTCTCATGACATAAACATATAGAAGACTACACAAGGATAACAAATAATACAAAAAGCAGCATAGATAATATATTTAGTAATATTAAGTACCATGTAAATAGTTTTATAATTTCAAATCATATTTCTGATCATTTTGCACAAAAAATTTCTTTTAACATACAAAACAACAAAACTATTTCAAGTAAATTAGTGAGAACGTATTCAGAACAGTCAAAACTAGAGTTTGTAAATAAGCTGGGACAGGAAAACTGGGAATCAGTTTATAAAATAGAGGCTCACAATGTAGATAGTCAGTGGGATAATTTTTCTTCAATTTTTTTTAAACTTTTCAATGAGCACTTTCCAAAAAAAACTGTAAGACATAATTCGAAAAATAAGATGTTTTATAGCAACCCTGAACTGGCAGCATGTAAGCAAAATTTAGATTTATTGTTAGGATTAAGCAATTCTGATAGTAGATTTAAAGAATTGTACAAAGCTGAAAAAAAAAGTTATGATAAAATCTTAGTTGAATCGAGAAAAAACCATTATAATAATAAAATAAGATCATCAGATAATAAAAATAAAGCAATGTGGACAGTATGCAACGACATTCAGGGCAACTCTCCCAGAAATGCAAACTGCCAAATCCTGGGGACACCTGAATCAATAGCCAATAATTATAATAACTTTCTAGTCGAATTAATTCCAAATCTAATAAAGAACAGTAAAAATTTCAATTGTGACAACATAAAAAACAATGCTTCTTTATATATAAGACCTTTTACCCCAGAAGAAATAATAGAAATATCTCAAAAACTTAAAAATAAACTAAGTAGTGGCATTGATGAAATTCCCGTGAATATTGTTAAACTTAGCATTCCAAGTATAAAGATAGTTATTTGTTATGTTATAAATAATTCATTCAAATTTGGCATTTTTCCTAACCAGCTAAAGGTAACTCTCATAAAACCGATTTTTAAGTCAGGAGATCCAGAAAAATTAGAAAATTACAGACCCATAAGTTTGCTAAATAGCTTTTCAAAAATCTTTGAAATGGCAATGTCCCTTAGACTGTTAAGTTTTTTTAATGAATGTAATCTGGTTAGTACATCACAACATGCATATCTAAAGGGTAAATCGACAAATACAGCAATTTTTCAATTTACATATAATATACTCAAATTTCTTGAGGCAAATAAATTAGCTGCTGGGCTATTCATCGACTTATCAAAGGCTTTTGACTGCCTAAACAGAAACCATTTAAAAGAAAAGCTAAAAAATTATGGTATAAAGGGAAGAGCTCTGAGTTGGCTGACCTCATACTTATCAGATCGCTGGCAATGTGTGGAAATTTATAAAAACAATAACTCATCTAGATCAGGATGGCTGCAAAATCAGGTGGGGGTACCCCAGGGGAGCATACTAGGGCCGATACTATTCCTGGTCATGATAAACGATCTGAGTTCGGTGTGCAGCGGATTGGAAGAGTCTGCAATAACAAATTATGCGGATGACACCAATCTGCTGGTCGCCGGAGTGGATCGGTATGCCTTGGAAGAAAAAAGCAATGAGCTATATTCTCGAGCAGAGGATTGGTTTGAGAAAAATGAACTATTTATAAACGAGAGCAAGACAAGCATTGTGATTTTTCGCACTAATAAACTGAAAGAGAAACCATCAGCAATAAGTATCCATAATCAGGAAATTGACATATCAGAGCACACTAAATTTTTAGGTGTTATAATTGATGAATTTCTAAAATGGTCAACACACATAGAAAGTTTAGTGAAAAAATTGAACGGTGTTTGTTTTGCAATCAGAGTACTAAACAAATATGTAGAAGACAAAGTTAAAAAAATCCTTTACTATGCAAATTTTGAGTCTCGGATAAGGTACGGTATCATTTTCTGGGGAGTCAGTTCTTCAACACAATCAGTCTTTGTAGTCCAAAAGCGAACTATCAGGTTATTGCTTAACATGAGTTTCAGAGACTCCTGTAGAGGCAAATTCAGGGAGTTGGGTATTTTAACAGTTTATGGTCTATACATACACGAGTGCCTCTTATATT